CTGCCCCAGCCTTTCAGAGTACTGAGATTACAGGTATATGCCATCATGCCCAGCATATTTAATGTTTTACAGTATCAATTATCACACTGTTAGACATTTAAATTGTTTTTTGTTTTGTGATTATAAAGATTAATATACATTTTTGTGCTCACTGATTTTTCTGAATTTCAGGTCTTGTTTCCACCATTTGGAATTCACAGCACTTCCTGTGTATGGGACTCTACAGAGGGCACAGAGCTCTCAAGGTAGCCTGGCCAAGCCTCCAGCCTAGTCCAGTGGCAGGAAGCATGTGTCTGTCCCTTCAGCAGATCACTGACTTAGCAGGATTAAACTGTGAAAACTAGAAATAGTACCGCATCGTGTCCAAAAGGACTGCAGAGATCTGCACCTTTACCAGGACATGAGGCTGCTGAGCGTGTACCACTCATACCCACAATGGATCATTTTACATAATTTTAAAACTATCTTTTCAATGCTGGTCCTTCAGCTCTGAGCTCCCTGGTCCTGTCCCCACATGCCACCCTGGGCTGGGTAAACTCAGGAGGGGATGGGAGGCTCAAGGCTGACCTGGTGGGCTTTGGGATGACTAAGGAGCCAGGCTCATGGGATCTACAAATGGGGACTGGGTTAGACCCAAAGGGGGACATAGTCATCAGCTTTTGGATACATGGGAGGCCCTGCAGCTGGGGCTGAGACTAAAGGTCAGCAGGTAAGTCTCTGGGGACACTGGGCCTCAGCCCGGGCTGACGTTGGTGATACCTGGGGAGGCCCACCCTAAGGCTGCAGTGGGGCCAGAGAGGCTTGGGCACTAGTTACTTAAAAGAACCCCTAGCTGGCTCTCCAGGGCCCCAAGTTCCAGCCCCTTCTATCCTTCAATCCCCTTTATTCCACCACCTTGTTCTCCAACTGATTCTTTGCATTTTACTTTTAAAAACATTTCATTTTCGGGCCGGGGATTTAGCTCGGTGGTTCCGATGCCTGCTTTGCAAGCACAAGGTCCTGAGTTTGATCCCCAGTACCAAAAAAAAAAAACCTGTCATTTTCAGCCAGGCGTGGTGACGCATGCCTCTAAACTCAGCACTTGGGAGGCTGAGACAGGAGGATCACCATGAGTTTGAGGCCAGCCTGGCCTATATAGTGAGTTCAAGACCCTGTTTCCAAAAACCAAAAAATTTTTTCTTTTTTCATTTTGGACTCTTAGAGTAATAGAAGTTCACTGTAGCAAATCAGGAAAACAGAGAAAACGCATAAAGAAGAAAAAAGATATTTTATATTTGTTCCAATCAGTGATTTAAATGGATGCACAGGTGACAAACAGGCCCAGGCTCTAGCTCCCCTCTCAAGGTGAGCATCCACTTGAGGTCTGTTGTGCCGATCTTCAGACCCTCAGAGCTTTGTTCCTTTTATTGCTAAAACCCTAACTGAGCACTTTGGCACACCCGCCACAGGGACCAAGATTTCAACCCAACCCTCAGCCCAGTTCAGAAGGAAACTCGAGGCCTTGTCCATGGCCCGTCCACCCCTTTTCCTTTCTTTTTATTTTTCCTGGAGGCCACAGGATTGGTCTTTGTTGCTGTGGTTGAGCTGTCTTCATTGCAGACTGTTTTCTAGGCTTCAGTGAATTTAAGGGAGGCGTTATGGCTCCTCTGCCACCTCTCACACTTCCAGCCCCAGGAATCCCAAGAGAAGTCACTCTCTCCTCTTGTTTCTGTGAAGAAGCCTCGGACTCTTTCTCCTTCACTCAGGAGCCATGGACCTGTTGTCCCTCTGGCCGCCCCCTCCACGCTAGGCAAAGCCAGGGGCAGGGCGGTCCGAGAGTGCCAGGCAGGTCCAGCCTGGAAGGAACCTTCTCGGCTCAGCTCCGTCCCGCTAGCCTCAGACCACCAGGCTGACACCAGAGATGCATCCACAAGTCCTCCACTGTAGAGCCCTGGAGTCTTGGCCTCTGCCTTCCCTCGCACCCAGGCCAGGGAGACAGAAACAAGTCCAGTGTGCTCTGGGCTCTCATAGGCTCAGGGCACAGAGGGATCCAGGAAGACTTCTTGGAGGAGACGGCACTGAACCAGCGGTTGGGAGAGGGGGAGAGGTGAGGGAAGGCACGTGGAATGAGGGAAGGAGGCAATAAGCAGAGTGTCCCCAGCACAGCAAGACAGGACAGAGGAAGGGGAGAGGGGGCAAGTGGGCAGGCAGCAGGAGTAGGGCCAAAACCCAGAGAGGAAGGGGCAGATTCAGGCTGTGGGGAACAGGGCGTCACTGGACATAGCCTGAAGGAACCAACATCTAGGACCAGGCTGATGGGGGCAGGGCGATGCCAGGGATGGAGCCTGGAAACCAACGCAGGAACAAGGGTGGTGACGGGAGCTGGGCAGGAGGGTGAAGCAGCTGCCTGGGTCACAGCACCTTGCAGCAGCTGCCTGCCACTGGCATGAGAAGACCTGGTAGGCAGCCTGGGCAGCTGAAACAGGTGCTAAGCACAGGGCAGGAGCAGCCAGTCAGGGCACCAGTGGGTCCTCGGCAGAGCATCAAGGCCTGGCACCCCAGGGAGTGAGGGTCACTGGGGTCTCAGCATGGAGACTCCAGAGATTATTTTTGAGAAGTGAAAGAAGACTGGAAGCCTGGAGATGACAGAGCCAAGGTAGAGGCACCAAGGTGGTTGTCAGTCTCCCTGGTTTTCGTGAAGGACAGAGGATGGTGGTAACCCGGGAGTTACTTCACTGGGGTGACCCAGCCATGAGGGGGTCCCAGGGAACATTTTCTTTTAAAAACCACACACAAGCCTAAGCAGGGAGAAGCAGAACCTGTAGCCAGGATTTTTGCCATTGGGCAGGAGACCTTAATTAACAGAAAGGCTCATTCTTCACCTCCCCCATGTCCCCAGGAAGCTGTGCAGTGTCCTCACAGCTAGGTGTGAGCTGCCATCCATTCTTTTCTTGCCTAGAGGGTGCTCTACGCAGGGCCTGGTGCATGGAGGCTCTTGAAAGCTGCTGGCCGAGTGGACACACGATCTGTACCCACATCCTCCATGTACCCAACTGTCCTCTTTTATCAGAGAGCAAGCAGCTCCACATCCCCACCATCACCAGCAGGGGGTCCCACATAACACAAGGTTGATGGGGTGGTGATGGGTATCCTTCATCACGCAGGGAAGAGCCGTGTAGCTGGGAGGAGCTGAAGGTCACTGCTTCCCTGTTGCCACAGCATAAGTCACCATGACTCCACCAGTCACAGCTGCACAGTCTGCTCAGTGGTGAACTTGCCATAGAGTTTGGTTTTTCCTTTCCAAAATGAGGGCAGACAGTCCCCATGTGCTATGAAAACTGGGCACACACAGGCGACTGCAAGGCTGAGGGCTGCAGATGCCCGGTGGGAAACCATCCCCAGCATGCCAGCTTACTCCCTGGGCTCCCCTTCTCCTAGAGTTTCACAGAGTGGTCAACTTTAAGCCAATGCCCCTGAGCAGCTGGCCTGGGCACAGGAGGGAAGCATCTTCCAGAGGGGGGTTTGGAAAACTGTGTGTGTGTGTGTGTGTGTGTGTGTGTGTGTGTGTGTGTGTAGTTAGCACAGGCCCAGGACCAAGCTGTTGATCCAAAGACCTAAGAGATACCGATGAGACTTGGCACTGCAATGCCCCACAACCAGCCTCCTGGAGGCGGGACAGAGATCTGCCGGCCCCCTGACCTGCAGAGGCTGCCTGGCCTCCCCACGGGCAGGAGCCTTCCGGGCACTGCGGACTGAAAGGCCAATGGAAGCCCCATGCTCTGCAGGAAGCAAAGTGTAGGTCTTCAGGTCAGGGCAATGGCTACCTCAGCCGATGGCCAGGCCTTGCCAAGAGTGACAAACAGCTGTCAGCAGTGGGGAAGAATGTCTACCTTGGGGACTCGAGCTGTCTCTAGAGGTGAAGCACTGGCCCAGGGATCTGTGACACTCCCTCTGCCCCTACCTCAGCCCAGTGAGCACCCCAGGCCACCCTATAGTGGTCTCCGCAGCAGAACCATGATCCTCCATGAATCATCTTCTCCTTCCTCTATCCCCCTTCCAGTGCAAGGTAGGGAGGAGCCTTCTGGGCTTAACTGTGCTTCTGCTTATATTATGGTCCCAACCCATAAAACCTCAGAATGTGACTGTGGAGTGATACCTCAGTTCATGAACTTAATTCATTCCATGCTTCTGGAAAAGATGGCCACGTTAATGTTTATCACCCAATGCAGAGTTTGCAAACAAAACCAAAATTTTGCCAAATGCTTCTGTTTGTGGACCAAATTGTTCGCAAAAAAAGCATTTGTGAATCAAGGTGCCACTGTGTTTGAAGACAGGGCCTTTAAAAAGGTGACTCAGTTGACATGAGGTCATTAGGGTGGTCCTAAATCAATAGGGCTGGTGTCTTCCTGAGGAGATCAGGAAGCAAAGAGCTGCAGGCTCGCCCAGAGGAAGGCAATGTCTGTCATCGAGGAGAGGCCTCCAGAGAAAGCAGTCCCACCCGCACCCTTCACTGTAGGCTTGTAGCCTCCAGAACTGCGGGGAATGAAGTTCTGTTGTTTAACCAAGGTCAGCCCTAAAAAGAACACTGGAGGCAACAGGGACAGAGGAGGAAGGGATCAGCCAGTCCCTGTCTCCCTCCACCTCATGTCCTTGGAACTCATTTCTCCACTGTTAGGACATCCAGAGACTTGAGCCCCCAGAAGAATCAGCTGTTCCAAATAGAACCCCTGAATTTCCCCAGAACTGAGGAGTAAGAGAAACCTAACCTGGGCCAGATGCCACCTACAGGGGAAGTGGGCCCCATAGTGGAGCCCTTGGCCACGTAACCTCCATCTAGTTGGCAGAAGCTGAGGTGAGAAAGGAAAGGACTGCTATGTTCTCTTCCCTGGGCAGGGGATACACGCTTGGTGGTGACTCTAGCAGAAGCCGGGTAGAGACTGGGTGCTCGGGGAGGGACGGGAGCCAGCGGTGCGCATGGGGGGTAGGGACACCATCCTATGCAGCCATCTGCATGCCCTTACCTTCCCACCTCCCGGCTGGTGCTTCAGGTTCTCGGTAGAGCCGATCTTGGACTTGACGTTCTTCAGGTCTGGCATGGGCACAGGGGCAGTCTGCAGGCGGCTCTTGGTGGAGGATGGTGACTTGGGTGGAGTGCGGACCACTGCTACCTTCTTGGGCTCCCGGGTGGGTGGGGTTGGCAGGGATGGGGTGCGGGAGCGGCTGCCAGGGGTTCCTGGGGAGCCAGGACTGCTGTAGCCACTGCGATCCCCAGATTTTGCTGATTCACCTGAGGAGAAGGAAGGTAGTGAGGCCAGGGGGCAGCAGTCAGCAAAAGCCCTGGGCACGGCTGTCTGGGGCCCACTGCCAGCTCAGGATGAGAGCAGGCACATGGGGACTGGGTAGGAACAAGGTTGAGAATTCAGTGAAGCAGCAGAGTGAAGCACTGGAAACTATTTTTGGAGAAGCATTACCTCCTGCCTCCCTTGTCACTTAGGGACAGTGACACCCATTTATTTCCCAGGGAAGCCGCAGAGACCATCAGTACCCCAATACCCAATTCCTCCTCCCATTGTCCTAGGGTCAAGAGATGGGCTCCAACTAGCTCTATGGTCTCCGGCAAGCACTTCCCCTCTCTGAGCTCAGCCTAAAACGCAAGTGACTATCCACTTGCTGTGAGGGAGACTCCGGGCAGTGCTGTGTATAGACATGCTTGGAAAAACTCACTTCTGCATCGCCTTTACCTCAAGCAAGGGCAATACAATGGCAGGGCCCAGCTGCTGCCCTTCAGCCTGGACTCACTTGACCATTTACCCTCTGGGTGGACTGGAAGCTGTCTGGCAGGTCCAGGGCTCCTCAGTGGAACCCAGCCTCCAGGAAGTCATACCCACGCCCATCTGTCTGCCCAGCTCTGCAGGCCACAAAGCTGGCTTGGGGCACACGTGGAGGAGCCCAGCCTCTGTTACCTCCCCCACAGTGCCCTCCCCCACGAACCTTTCCTAACACCAGAAAAGCATTAGGCCTCTCTTTCTCCACAGACTCAGTCCTGCCCTTCTCTGGCATCCTTTTCCCCCAAACATGAGGCTGTGACTACCCTTCTCAGGCCCTGTTACAGTTCAGGTTTACTATTCTTTCTGCCTCATGGTCTAGCAGTTCTCAAAGTGGGCCCCACAAACCCCTAAATCAGAATATCCAGAGCTTTCTTATTCTTTTTTGAGGGGAAGGAGGCAAGTATCCAGAGGCTTTGAGGAGAAAGTGGGACTAGTAACATGCAGATTTCTGGGCCCCACCCAGATCTGACAGAGTAGGATGTATAGGGGTGGGGCTGCCAGACTAGTTTTCCTCACTCCTCTCCCACCCATCCACCTGAGAAGGAAGCCACTTAACAAACACTCTTCCCTGCTGCCCAGAATGGCCAATCAGCCAATCAGCGGCTGCTCTTGTGAAGTGGAGTAAGAGCTGCAGTGTTTAGAGTTTGGGTTTCCTTGCCTTAGATGCCTCTAAGGCAGGCAAGCTCCATGGCAACAGGACAGGGGATGCCTTTCCTTTTCCACAGAAGGATACAGGGCTGGGGATGTAGCTACTTGGTAGGCTGAGGCAGGGGCATCACTTGAGCCTATGAGTTCAAGACTAGCCTCAGCAACACAATGAGACCCCATCTCAAAAAACAGAACAAAAACACCAGGAGTTGGGCATGTAGCTCAGTGGTGAAACACCTGTCAAGCATTTATGAGGCCCTGGGTTTGTTCCCTAGTACAGAATCAAAAAATCAAAACTCCTCTACCTAGTAAATGCCAGTGAGGATTTCCCACTGCGACCTCGGTTAGGGACAACCCAAATTTCCACCACACCAAACAATTCGAGACACATGCTCCTTGCCCTAAAGCAGATGAGAACATGGGGTTTGGCAGTCCCCCAGACAGATGCATCTGCACAAACCACATGGAGAAGAGAAGCAGGGGGTGAACTGCTCCACACTCAACTCCATGTACAACCTACATGGGCTCAGCAGGTCCCCCAGCCCTGCAAACAATGCTGGGGATGGTGCATACACCAAGGGGGTCTGCCTGCCCAGGGAAGCAGGCCCAGAATTACCTCTCTTGGATTTTGTCCCTGCAGGGGGTAGTTTTCTCTGCACTTGCTTGGAAGCTTAAAAAGAGAAACCCACAGACAACCTCATTATAATCAGGATTAACTAATGAGTTCTTCATGTGGCAGCATCCAGGCCAGCACAGGAAAGGGAGCCAGGGAGTGGAAGGCAGTTTGCAGGAGCAGGAAACAAGGTCCAGCACCCCGGGGAGGCTCAGTCCAGCAGCAGGCAGCTGCCTGGTGGCAGTGAGATCCCAGACCAAGGCGTGCCCTTGTCTCTAGTCAGCTGGCATAATGTTAAACGAGCAGCATCACGATCAAAATCATTTACAAATCAACCCAAAATTCCACTAATTTCCCCTTGATTATAAGTGTTTTTCTCTCATACAGAGAAAAACACCAGGTAAAGACACACTAAGCAAAAACACAAAAGCAACAGCTCTTACGGAGCGGTGTCTTGGCAGGCACCACATTCCACACTCATCAAGATCACACAGCTACCAAGGCAGGCTCTGTGGCCACCCAAGGCCAAACCACCACAGCTATGAACAGGTCCCCAGGGCACCCAAAGAGCTCCACTACTCCTAATGGCACCATGGACCTGAAACGGCTGGACAGAAGCCCAGCTGGGTACTCAACACTGATTGGGAGATAAACACTGGTGAAAGAGTGGGAGCAAGAGCTGAGGCAGGATCACCACAAGTTCAAGGCCAGCCTGGACTACATAGTGGGACCTTGTCTCAACTACCCCTCCACACACACACAAGGAGAAAAGTTCCAAAGGGACTGAGAAGAAAATGAACATTCATTTGCTTAGTAAACTACAAAAGCACTGATCAGCTGCCAGGCATTACTGTCAGTGGCAATTGGGTCTGTATCTTCCGGGAGCTTACACTGACTAGGCCTCAAGGGAACATTCTTCTTACCAGTGCTAGGCGATGTCTTTGGGGTAGGTGTGGTTTTGGCTGGAATTCTGGTGGCGTTGGCAGCGCCTTTCTGACCTGGAGGGGCTGCTCCTCGGGGTGTAGTGGTCTTGGTTCCAGTTTTGCCATCAGCCCCCTGTAAACCAAATCAGGGTAAAGTGGTTTTCACCATTGGGAATGATGACTGTCAATGAGTCAAAGTCAACCTCATTCTACCACCTTGACTCAAGGAGGTGAAGACAAGGGTAACCTTTTGCCCACTGAATGCAAAACACATCTACAATCTCAAGGGTTTGCTGGGCATTCAGTCCCACTACTCCATCCCTTTGCCAAGAACCCTATTTACTAATTCCTCTCAGGGGAACTGTTTGCATTAGTCATCAGCACTGGTTGTGCTAACATGTTTTATCAGAAGACAACAGGGCTCGTAGCGTAGCAACCATCAGGGTCATCATCCACTCTGTGTCTGGTTAAAGGACAGGACAATGGGAAACTATACCCATTTTTTGACTCTAATTATGGATGTATCTGACCAATAGTAAGTGGCTGATTTCACCAGGGGTCCACGGAGACACTGTTTGTTGAACCTGACCTTCCACTGAACCTGAACAAGAATGCTAAACATTTTCTCCCAGACCACCCTCAGTTTTCAGTAACCCTTAAGTTCTTAGCAACCTCCAAGAGTCCTTGGTGAGTCAACATTGATGAAAGGTTGGGAGCGAGAGCTGGCACAAGCACAGTCTGCTGATCACAGGCAGTTATGGGTTTGGTTCCCCAGCTGATGACCGTCAGATGTAACATGAACTCCAAAAAGAAACTGACATGAACCACAGACCATAAGATGGCTCAGGAGGGGGCAGCTTGGGGACAGGTGTGCTGCAGGCCAATGCTGTGGAACCAAATGAGGACACAGGAAGGGCAAAAGAACCCAGTCAGAGAAATGGCTGGCTTCCTTCCTTCCTTCCTTCCTTCCTTCCTTCCTGGTACTTCCTTGCAGTACTAGGGATTGAAGCCAGGGCCTTCACAATGAGCTTCATTCCCAGCCCTTTAAAAATAATTGTTTTGAGACAAGATCTCTCTAAATCACCAAGTTGCCCAGCAAATTTGCAGTCCTCCTGCCTCAGCTTCCCAGGTAGCTGGGATTATAGGCATGTGCAACCACTTCCAGCTAAGAGGCAACTTTCAAACCAGAATCCACCAGGCGTCTCAGGGGCTGCTGCTTGGAGGGGAAAGTACAGCTCCAAGCCTCCTTTCCCTTCTCAATCAGAACTTTAGTATGCATAGCCCTTCTTCGTCAAAGAAAGGTCTCTGCAGCTAAGGAAACCCATCTGAACACCACTTCAGAGCAGCCTGGTTCTTGTCAAAGGTGGTTTCCTTACCTTGAATTTTATCTCCTTTGCTCTAGAACTGCCAGTTCGGGGTGTGACAGGAGGGACGTGTTTAGGAGAGGAAGTTGGCTCGGGGCACACGGCAGGGCTGGAGGGTTTGATCAAAGGGTCTGAGCTACCAGGAGTGGGGTGTGTGGGGCTAAGGCAAGGCCTATTTCTCAGGGTTTTAGCACAGGAAGGTGTGGATGTCTTAAACATAAAAATAAATAAAATCAAAATAAAAGTCAGCACATGGGGGAGGGAAAACAAACTCGAGAAAAGACAGTAACTAAACATAAAGCAGGCAGGTCATAGTTCTGAGCAGTGATTGCACATGGCATGGTCAGGTGCCCTCATGAGCCCTTCTGATCAGTAAGGAAGGAAAACCACCATGTTCCCTTACGGAATTACCTATCAGCTACATACACATTCCACAGTGCCAATGTATGGCACACATTACAACGGAACTTTGATATATTTTAGTATATGTGCTGCTAATGTGAGCACTTGACAGAACTTTGAAAAGAGAAGATGAAACATGGATAGAAGTTCTAGTATGTTCATTCTCCAGCCATTGGATCTTCTTGTCCCACTCTGGAGAACACTGGTTAAAGGTGCTTCACCCTCATTAAGTCAACGGAGATCATCAGGGTACAGGAGTCTTAGGTTGTTTCTTAAGAACAGGTTCCTAACATGTCATGGGAACCAACATATCAGAGGTGCCTATTTTCTGCTCAGATCTTGTGGAAATGATGGGGTGCTCATAGATTCCGTCTGATACCACTGAGGCCACACACACACACACACACACACACACACACACACACACACACTTTCTGATTCAAGTTCCAAATAAAACTAAACGCTATCAGGTAAATCCCAAACTGACCAAAGTTAACTCCTGAACATGTTCCACATATTTACATATTAAACCTGGTATGGTGGGTGCTCGAAGGAGAAGTGCCTGTGGAGCCAGACAACCTCTGAGAGGGAGCTGCCCCCTTGAACATGAATGGGTACTTGATGGATGGAGGCTGATACCCACAGTTTGTCCTAACTGTCTCTGGAGACTAAGAAGCCTTGTCCCTAGTGGAGGAGGGTGTGGAGCCACACTATGGGAATACAATCGGAGAGGCTGAATCTAGGGGTGCTCTCGGGTGGGGGCCAGAGCTACAGAGCAGGGTCCTGATCAGAAACTTTACTGGGCTTCTCTGGTGTGTTTCTTACTGCCTTTGGATTCCCTGCCTAAGTGGCAGCCAGTGGCACCACTGAGCTATAGCCCCTACCCCACAGTGGTGGTTTTCTGGGAAAATCCCACCACAGCCCTAGATAAGACCTATTTTAGAGGAATACAGAATATCTAATCTAAAGGCTGCCAGGGAGGCTAGGGAAGTATGTCAGAAGTAGGGTGTGTATGTAGCATGCACAGGCCCTGGTTCCATCCCCAGTAACAAATCAATAAATGCTGTCTGGAACATCTGGATTGTAATCAGTAGTAGAGCTCTACAAGGGTCTCCAGGTCCAGAAGGTGGCTCTAAAGTTGAGCTGCTCCCGGCAGTGGCTGCCCTGGGTAATCATATCAGTTCCTGCCAGCCTGTATCCCTTTCCCTCTCACTCATGCCCCCTTCCTTGGGGTCTCTTTCTTGACAAGGTTGAAAGTGCAAGGTCCCGAATTCGATCCCCGGTACAAAAAAACCCCCACCACTGTGCAGTTTGGGGAGCATTTTAGAAAATATAAAGTTACTAAAAAAGGAAAATGTAGCTGAAATGAAAGGCAAAGAGACTGGCAGTATGTTAGGTTTATGGCGAGCAGGTTGCTTCCTTTTGTCTCCAAGGTTGGCTGCTGAAGCCTGACTGCGGCTTACCCCAAATCGTAGCTTTGGCAAGACCACAAGATGGCATCTCCTATGCTAACCCAACTTCTCCACACTACATGTAAGATGTGGGTCAAATTTCCCTCCTCCATTTCCTCCCAACCCATGTCAGCTCCACACGGGGTTCTGCAGTAACCAAGCCGTACCCTCTTCAGATTTCTGCTTCCAGGTCTTTGTTTCTGCTGTCCCTCCCCTGGCCATGCATTTCCCTGCCCGGAAGCAGGGAACCTCATTTGTGTTTCCTTCTGGGCAGAAATCTTCATTCCTCTCTTCTGCGGCTGGAGAGTGCTTCCTTGCTCTCTCAGCCTCCTGTTATGTTTTTCTACATATGTTAAATGTGTGTGTGTGGTGCGCATATGCGCGCATGCGAGTGCACACTGAGCCTAGATCCATAGTGGCAAGCATGAGATGTGCAAAATTGAAACCTTTTTGCAGAAAATGTAAACATACATTCATTAAATTATGCAGAGGCTATGGGAATTAGGAGCATAAATTCATTAACTCGCTGACTGCCCTGCCCTGGAATAAAAATTGATGAATTCTGGACTTTTGAAAAGCATGCAGAAACATACAATGCACTTTAAATGCCAGTTATGCTCTAGTGACAAGCACTCACCACATTATATGGGAACAAACTCAGACACAAAGCACAGCCTCTTGGTAAACTTGTCAAGCAGCAGAGTTTCATGGTATTGTCAACTTACCTTTGCTTTTTTGTCATCATTTCCAGTTCCGTCTTTGCCTTTACTGATCATGCGAGCTGATAAAATATAAAATGAGAAATATGTTACACCTCATTTTCACAGTTCATGAGAAGAGCCAGAAATAGTTCAGGATTGGATCAGAGATACGTGTCAGTTTAGTTGGGTTTGAAGGAGGAAACCCAACTGAGTTTCTCTTCCCTCCAGTCTGCTAGCTCTCATTTTGTTAGTACCAAAACAGCACACTGCAGCCATTGGTTGGAGCAACACTGAGAGAGGGGCAGCAGGGTGGGTGAGGGTGGGGACATGCAGAGGGGATGCAGAGGATGCGGTTAGAGGCACAAGTGGCCACAGGGCTATTGAGGGAAGGTAATGTGGGCTCGCACCCACAGCTCCCTTCCTGTCCCTGCCAGAGCCAAATCCAGTCCTGGGGAGTGCTCAAAAGCCTCAAGACTGTGGGGAGCAGCTCAGCCAGGCTCTGGGCCCCTGCAGGAGCCCATAATCAGGGTGGATGGTTATCCACACTCTTGCCAGGAGGCCTGGCTTGGTTTCCTATGTGGTTCTCACTTACCTTCTGGAGCCTCGATGTCCGACAGGAGCCACCACCGATTCCCCTGCCATAGGCTCTCAGTTTGTAGTAAGTCCAGTGTCCACCCTGCTGGCCATCTATGCTGACCACACTACCCCCTACTCTCAGTCATCTGCTATGAGAATAGGTGAGCCAGGGTGATGTCTTTGCCCCCTCAAGGCTGGTTGCACCCCCAGAGCCTGCCCTTTACTAATGGGGACCTTAGTTACAAGTCCTGCTGCTTTCAGATAAGCCCATCCCACCCTGACCCAGCCCCGTGGGTCTTCCCATTACCAATGGGCCTCTAGGGAGGCTAATCCTTCTTTTCTTCTCCAAATCAGCTACCAATGAATTACCATCAAGTATCCTCCAGACAACATCAGGATTTTGGGACCAGCCACTGACAGCTGGTGTTTAGGAACTGCACCGTGGCCTACTGAAGTCAGCCTTCTCATCAGTGCAGCCTCACCTTTCACTCATGCCCTCCAGTGAACACTGATCATTGATTTTCTTCTTTGGTTTCAGAATCATATGCCCTCTGCCCCGAGGACAATGGGGTCTCTGGATTGGTCGAGAGACAAGCACTGCTTTCTAGCCCAGGGGTTTTCCAACTTTACTGTGTGGCAGAATCACCTGGAGAGATTGCTTAAACAGATTCCTAGACTAATGTGGTCCCCAGGAAGAGAAGCTCCAAGTGGATCTGGCTCGCAAGTTCCTCCCTTTGGTCATCATTCGTGTCACAAGAGCATCCTTGAGATGAGGATTTCCCAAATCAGGGTAGGACTCAACAAGCCCTCTCCAGGAGATGTGACCAGGTGAGATAAAATAAATTTGGGAAATTCATACTATGTATCTTTCCCAAAGGGTCACAACATACATTAGCATATTAATGGCCCCGATAAATCCTGCAGCGGCAAAGCCTGTTTAACTTTGCTTAGCCTGTTTTTTCCAAACTCATCAGATCATGGAGCCATCTCTCCCATCCTCATATACACCTACTGACCTGTGATGGACCAGGATTCAATCAAATATCACTTTAGGAAACCTGTGAAAAACTGTCAAATCACAGTCATTTGTCCTCTACTGCTTGGAATTTAAAAGAGGACACAGGACTTTTTTTCTGACTTAAATTTAAAATACAGGTTCCTTCATCTACAATATTTCAAAGTTGTCTCTAGAAGTGGAATCCAATCAAAACTTAACAGATGTTTATGACTATTAGATTAAGTGGCACTGATCTCTGGGTTTGGCAAATACGTTTTTTGGTATTAGAAATTGAACCTAGGGACTTTTTGCACTGTTACATCCCCAGCCCTTTCTATTTTGAGACAGGATCTCACTAAGTCACTAAATTGCCCCGAGTAGACTCAGACTCGCTGCTTCTCCCACCTCAGGGTCCCAGAGTTCTAGGATTACAGGTGTGTACCTCCCTGTCCAGCTCCTGCAAATAATTCTAAAATGAGAAGTATTCGAAAATTCTAAACCTATGCAGCTTCCCCTAGAACATAAACCTGAAGGGCTGCTATGACTGTGCTCCAGGTGGGGTGGAGCTGAGACCCCTGTGATGACAGCACCCAGAGTCTCTGCCCATGGAGGAGGGGGCACTTTGGACAAGGAAGATCATGTTTCTGCTCATTTTCTCTCCTGCCACAAGGCAGGGCAGGGTGTGGGCAGGGCTGCTGCACCAAAGGCACCTTGTGGGCCCTTGGCTACCTCCAGTTGCTCTGTGGGTGTTGCCTGCCAAATGTGACAAGCTGTCTGCTGACAAGAGCAGCAGGAGACAGGCACTTGGCCTCTGGATCTTTGTTAGGAGGTGGGGTGTGGGAAGAGTGTCTTTCAGAGCAGACCTACCTGGATTCTGAACCTGGCTCCGTCACTTCCTATAGGTGACCTTCAGGAAATTACTTTACCTCTCTGAGCCTCAGTTTCCTCATCTGCAAAGTGGAACTAACTTTGCCTACTTAAAAGTGTCTAGAGGGTTCTAGACCATGAATATGAGGGTCAGTTGTTATCTCCTCTGTGAAGTGTGCTGACCAACCTCCTGCGGGATGATGGACCATGGTTGAAACACCAAGTGGGTGGACAATCGAACAGGGCTAAAGCACCGGGCGGGAGTGTTGGTGACATGCAAAACAGTGGGCAAGAGTGAGAGGAGCACGTGCTACCGGAGCCTCGTGGCAGGGGGCTGAGGAAGGGGAGTGGCGGCGGCCCAGGTGGCTGATTTAGTAGCTGTCCTAGAACCTTGCAGGAGGCAGGAGCCAGGGAGGGCCAGAAGCTCAATGGCAGTGCCTGCAGCCTGGATGACACAGGAAGGCGCCAGGGGATGAGCGAGGGAGCTCAAACACAGACCTTTGAGTTGAGGGACCCGGCTGACAGATCTCCCCGGCAGACCAGCTGCAGGCTGCTTCTCAGATGGCTCAGGAAGGTCAGCCTCCTTTGTGGCTTCCACAGAAGAGCCCAAGGCCTCTTGCTCTTCTCTTCGGGCCCTCGGAAGTATGGCCCCTTCCAAATCCGGCTCTGAACATGCCCGCTCCTTCTGCACATTAGCTTTTATTTCCACGTGGAATGTGAACTCGGGAACAGCCCCATGCCCATCCACCATGGGCCCTGTGCCAGGCCTGTCAGGTGGTGAGGCCAGGGTCTCTGTGGAAACTTTGGAGAGGAAATTGACAGGGAGCGGGATGGCACCCTTGGCTGGGAAACCAGGGATGCCAGCAGCTTCTCTGGAGGCAGCATGGGGGAGTGGCCCGCTGGGTGCTGGGGAGGCCTGGGAAGGAGGTGAGTCTTGGGGTGATGATTCATCAATGTCACGATCTTCATCCACCTCCTTGTCACCCCCCAGCCTTTCTTTGCCCTGGGTCCCCTTCAGAGGGGGCCCCTTCCAGTCCTGGTCTCCCAAAAGCTGGTGCTTCAGCAGTTCAGAGCCTTGGTGGCTTCTATCCAGGTCGTTGGGTCCTTTCTCTAAAGGCTGCTGTGTGGCTTCTGTGGGGCCTTTGGGCAGGAAGGGAGCCCTAGGCATGTGGGGCACGTGCGGGAGGGTGAGACCCAGGATCCCCGGATCTGAGGCTTTACCTCCATGGCACCCTGGTGCCCTGAGCAAGCTTTCCTGGACACCCTTTACCCTCTCCGGCTCCGTGTAGAGATGTCCAGGGAAGGAGGGCTGTGAGATGACTAGAGCCTTGTTGGCTTGGTCCCCATGCTCTGGTACCCATTCCTGGGTTGGTTTCTGAGGGCCTCCCGGTAGGGGAGGCCGCAGAGGAGGATGAGCAACTTCCAGAACAGGAGCTTCTGACTGTTTTTCACCCAGAACCAGCACTGAGACCCTAGAAACTTCTCTGCTGTGTCTAGGCTGGACTTGAACACCAAGCTCCTTTGCCAGGGGCCTCTTGGGGGCCTCCCTCTGCTCACCTGGAACTCTCATCTCTTCTGGGTTTGAAGAGGCAGCAGTGGCAAAAGGTTAGCAAGGGTGCAGTAATTGTTTAAGAGAGGGACATCATTCTTGCCATCAGAAAAGGATACCTAAGGGCCAGGGATTTAGCTTACTGGTGCTGCACCTGCCTTGCAAGCCCAAGGTCCTGAGTTCCATCTCAGTACTGAGAAAAGGACACTTAAACACATCATAAGCCCATCTAACAGAGGCAGATGTGGCTCTGGGCTCATTCCACTGGTTTTGTTTGTTTGCAGCGAAACTTCTCTTGCTCTATCTGCCAACAACTTGCTGAGGGACTTTGGGTTTTCTTATCTAGTCCTCAGTTTTCTCATCTATAAAAGCAGGGAGGGCTGGACCTGGTGACTTCCAAGGCCCCTTCTGGTGTGGATGTTATCCCTCCATCTACTGATGAGCTCTTGCTGGCCAGGGAGTACACCAGTATCTCTATGGCCTTCTTGTGCACAATCCTCTGGGCTACAGAAGCCTTTCCCTCTTTCAAGGGGATTTAAATCTCCTGAAGGTTCTGGCCTTTGGTGGGACTTGGCTGGGGTGCAGCAAGGTTCCCTTTCCTTTCCCCCTCTGTCTTTTGCACTTTTTTAGTGCTGGAGATCAAGCCCAGAGCCTTGTGCCCACTAGGCAAGTGCTCTGTCACTGAACTATAGCCCTACCCCCCTACTCCTGCCTTTATAAAATTTTGAGACAGTGGCTGGCCTTGAATATGAGATCCTCCTCCCTCAAGCCTCCAAGTAGCTAGGATTATAGGTGTATGGTGGCATGCTTGGCTCATAGGCAGGGCCACTGTGGCAACAAATGGCTCAGGGTACCCCTTCTCTGTCTGATCACACAACATGCTGCCCACCAGTTCAGTTGATTAAGGGGACACTCATTTTTTCTGGGTCATTCATGTGAATCCCCCTTTATAGTATCTGTATATTAAGGACAGGTGAGTTATGCTCTTTAGTTTCTCCCAGTAATCACCCTTAATTAATTAATTACTTTTGTAGTACTGGGGATTGAACCCAGGACTCCACATAATAGGGAAGCACTGTACCACTAAGCTACTTCCCCAGCCTGGCACCATTTATTTTTTCAACTTTCATCTCTGTGAACATCCCACCTGGTCCCAAAAGAATAACCCATAAACTTCCCAGCTCTCTTCTAACCAAATCTATACCCTAAAGATTTCAGGAACTCGGGCTGGGGGGTTGGCTCAGTGGTGCCTGTGCCTGCCTCGCAAGCACAAGGATCTTCGGTACCAAAAAAAAAAAGAAAAGATTTCAGGAATTTGGAAAAGAAGATCTGGATGGAATCAGGGAAGGAAAGAAGACAAGTGTCTGGGTATGCAGCTGCGAGCACACTGTCCCCTAGGGGCCAGAATGGGCAGTGAGGCCTCATGCCCTCTGCAGCAGAATGCCTTGAAGCCAGACAGCACTGCTGGTGATGCTAAACAATGGATAAACTCCCTATGACTTTTTGGAGAAAAGAACAGTATCTTCCCAGATCTTCTGCAATCTAGAAACTTCCATATTATACAGTAGAAGTTAGCCAGAAAACAATAGAAAACAAACCCAGCCCATGTTTTATCTATATTAGAAGTCTTCACTTTCTAAGATTCTCTAGGATTTTTAAATCAAGTTCTTAAAATGTTTATATTAAAATGACTATAGATTAAATAAATGATTATAGAAAGCTACTTTTCTTGAACACAGCAGTTTAGTTCCTAAGAAGAAAATTATAGTAAGGTTTGAAGGCTGCACTCCTGGATAGGTCAGAGCCACCCATGATGCAAATTTGCATTTTGATTGAACATTTGTCCTCAGTTCCCAAGCTGAATGAAGCCAGCTTCCTTCAGGATACTGTGCCCCAGGAAAGACTCAGAAATGGTATCATAGCTGGGGATTTAGCTCAGGGGTGCCACTGCCTGCCTCCCAAAGTGCAAGATCCTGAGTTCAATCCCCAGTACCAAAAAAAGAAAGAAAGAAAGAAAGAAAGAAAGAAAGAAAGAAAGAAAGAAAGAAAGAAAAAAGAAATGGTATCATAAAAAAACCTGACAGGCTCTTTCCACATTTGAGGAGCCCACCTTTGACAAGAACCAGCAACCCAGATCTCCTGGATGCAGGGATTAGGGTGCAGGTCCAGGCTTTTTTAGGGTGGAGCCCGAGTGCTTCCATCCCCCTCCTCACAACCCCCAAATTGTGGAGGAAATTTGGGCCACTGACCTTGAGTCACATGTCCAGCAGCTTGGTCTTCTAGGTTTGGGGTGTCTCCAATGCCTGCTTCTTCAGCTGGTGTAAACAACAACAGGGAGAAGACAAAAGCAAAGATAGTTACTCTTTGTTGGATCCCAAGCTTTCCACATCTGTTGATATCTTTCCTAAAACCTACAGAAAGGCAGGCCCTCAGACAGCCTGGGACAGTGATAGCAAATTTCTCTAAACAAAATCCACAACACCCACATGCCTTGGCCCTAAGTGTGGCCTAGGAGGAAAGAGCTTCTCCAACAAGGGCCCACCTTGCTCCTCCACCTTGCTCTACCAAGATCACAGGGTAGGGAGGTGGGAACGGCACTTACCATGAGTTGGGCCGGGAGCCATGTCCCAGTGGCAGCAATGCCACCCAGGTCACCCAGAGGGCAGGAGTTCAGGACGGACTAGGAACAGCAGGGGGTACACCCAGATGCCACCACTCACTTGATCTCCCCGACCACCCATCTACTCATCTGTAACCCCAAGGAGATGAGGCTCATTCATCTTGCAGGAGGACGGCAAGCATAGTATAAGAATTTGGTGGGGCTGGGGATTTAGCTCAGTGGTTTTGTTGCCTGCTGCGCAAGCGCAAGGACCCAAGTTCGATCCCCAGTACCAAAAAAAAAAAAAGGAATTTGGTAAAGGGGCTCAGCATAATGCCTGTGTAAGGTAGGTGTCCCAAAGCTGTTAAGTTTCTTCCCACCAAACCCCCTTCATGGCACACATGGAGCAAGAACTGCCTTGCTGAAGAAGGCTGGAAATCCCTGTGAGTCAGGGTTTTTTGGGGGGAGGGGTCTTAGGCTCCTGTTCAGAGAACCCCAGTCACCTCAAACAAAGAAAACTGAGAAAAGTCCCTGATCACATCAACAGGACCAAAATCAGTAAGTATTCATCCTGGAACAGGAGAAGTTAGGACATTACAGACAATTGTCCAGAGGCGGCGTGTATAAGGCAGTTGGTACACACTGCCCTCACTGCCCTGAATGACCAGCCTGCCTGAGGTGGGGTAGAGAGACCCAGCAGCTCAGTCTCTGCACTGAAGCTGACATGTCCAGTCACCACTGCTGCCCGTCATGGCTGCCTCGGAGAGTGCAACAGGGAAAAGATTCTCTGAGTTTCTGGGCAGCCAAGTGGTGGCCTCCTAAGTACCCAGCTGTTGGTGGTGCCAGGGCAGCTCCAGTGGGGTGGGAATGGGCTCAGGAGCTCTGCATCCACCAGGTCATCAGTACAAACACCCTCTGAGTCCCCTGGAACCCACACTGTGCTGCTCATGAGGTCTGATGGTGATGGCTCCTTATCATGCCATGCAACAATGGGCAAGCATTGGTCCAACAGTCCAGGAATCTCAGCTCCAGTTGTGGAGTTGGTCTGAGTTTCCGACAAGGTTATGGAAATGGAAGAAGGTCTCAGTAAGTCCAGCTAAATGGCCACGGAGTTTTTGAGACAGTGGGCACAAGAAAGGGCATTCTGGGACACCATCATGACCATGGCACAGACAAGCGGATTTGCCTTCCTGCACCAATGCAGAGATTTGACATTCTTGCCCTGGTTTGAGGCAGAAATTGGAGTCTGCTGATGCCTCTGACCGGGGGTAGGGGCACTCAGAAAACCCAAGGGAGAGAGTGCATGGAGATGGCATCACATCATTAACATTCTCTCCTCTCCCTGGGAGGATTTTCATGGCAGGACTCACAGGCGAACTGCAGCCCCAGTGGTATCCACAGGTGGGTTTCACAGGAATACCAGGATTCTACAGATGGATGTGCTACAGCAAGGGGCTAAACTAAAGTCCACAGAGTTAGGGAAATGCTTACTGACTCTAAAACCTCCTGCTACCCTGAGGACGTGAAGGAGAAAGAAGGGGAGAGAATTTTTGAGAATTACTTTCTTGGACAGAGTAGCTTCAAGGGTTGCGGGTGGCTGCATGGCCATCTCCCATCTCAGTCCCAGGGAAGTCTTTCTAGGCACCAATCACATGCAGATATGTGGCATGTGGACCCTCTGGCTCAGAATGTGGTGGGCTGATGTCAGGGCCCCACTGGGAGCCCCACAGGGCAGGAGACGAGCTGGCCCTGCCAGAAGGTTGTGTACCCAGTTTGCTTGCCAGTGTTCCCTGCAGACCTGATGTAGGCACATTAGAGACAGTCATGTGAGCATGTTAGGTCACATCCTACAGGCCACTGGCAGGACAGCCACTCTCAGCAGAGTGAGGCTGGAGCTGGATCTTCAGACCCCAGGGGCAGAGGAGAGAGGACACGTGTGCTGAAACGTAGCACAGAGGATCTTCGGGGAACAGGAGATGGGGTGGGGGAAGAAGAGTCTGGAAGAACTCAAACAGGGCCCTCTGAGAGAAGAAGTTACCTCCAAACACCTGCAGGGGTGAGAAGCAGCTCACACCATCGCGTCTTACCCACTTGCCCACACCAGCCCAGAAGAAGGTGCTGCTCCTCAGAATGACTGCCACATGGGACTGGCCTTTCTGATCAACATTTATAGACTGTTTTTCAAATATGGAGAACAAGGTGTTTTTGATTACCCAGGAGCAATGGAAAAATCAAGAAATGGCTGGAAGTTTCACCCTTAGTCAGAGGACAAACTCCCACTCAAACTGTGAAGGGCCAGCAGGAGACAGAATTGAATCACCTGTAATGTCATGCTGTAAGTTGTTCCATGGCCTTCAAAGGTCCTTCACACTCAAGGCTGAGGCCCTTTCAGGCTTCAGAAACTCGAACATGGCCCTCACCCATCTCAGAAGACCTCACTGCTGATCATCTTGCAAGGCAGAACTGCACTTTGAAGGAGCAAGGGTGTTACTGCTCGCCCTGCAATGGGCGTTCTCAATGCAGGAGCCCTGAGAGACAGCTGCAGGCTTCCCGTACAGTCACAGAGAGCACACCTTCTGGAAGGGAAGAAAAACCCCTGCCCGGGCACTTCCCTGCTCTCCACTGATGGTGAATCCTGTACAGAGACCTTCTGCATTTCTCCCGCTGTCCTTCCTCCCCCTATCTTTTTTGTTTTTGGATGGACTCTTGCTATTTTGCCCAAGCTGGTCTCAAATTTATGGAGTCAAGTGATGATCCCACCTCAGTCTCCTGAGTAGCTTGCATGTGCCACCACACCCAGCTTCTGCATTTCTTGCAGAAATGCACTCTCCATTTCCCCAGTGGTATAGGCCAAAGAAAGAGGGCCTGAAGGGAATGACCCCAGAGGCTTCAGGCCATGCTGGCCCTTTCCTAGGATCTGGTTCAGGGTAGCTCTTGAGTGACTGGGTAGCCCCATCCCAGTACTATTTCTGTTGGTGGCCTGTCATCATCTGTGTTAGCAGCAGACTCACACGCCTGTTCTAGAAAGAGGTTTGAAAGGCAACATGTCCTAGAAATGGATGCAAAGTCACATTCCTGAACTCCACCAGGACTACCCCATTAAGACTCCCCAAAGTGTGACACAGTTGTCTGGATCCCGCTTCGTGCTTGGGTGCTCCTAGGGGGAAACTACCCCTCTAGGGTAACCTGCCACTGGGCAGAGTCTGAGCAGGAGGGTGGGCTGACCTCAGATGTGCAGGAAGCATGGATCTGTCACAGCCTGCCTAAGAAAACCCTGCAGAGAACTCTCTGGAGCTGATTCCCTGACTGAGGCAAGGGGAGGAGGATCTAGAAGGAATCCAGAAAGCCCTAAGTCCCCTGAGAGGCTGGCAGGAAGCAGGTAGGCACCAAGGCCCCCAACTCCCAACAACCCAGGATTCCCAGAAGCCAGTGTCACCCATGTTCCTATCTCACTTGGAAATAAGGGTGACCCAATGTGCACCCCTCACTGGGGCCATCACTGCCCTGTGATCTCTGGGGGCTGCCCTCACCTGTGGTTCCTTCTGGGATCTCCATGTGGGGCTGGGCGGCAGCCTGCTTGCCAGGGGCTCTCTCATCCACTAAAGGTGCAGTCACTTCTGGAAACCACCAAGAGTCACCTCAGAGGGGCCGGCCAGCCGCCCAGCTCTCTCCTTTGCTGCATATGCAGGAGCAGTGCAGGGAGGGGAGTCAGGAGGGGACTGGCTGCATGCAGGAAAGCACCAGTACAAAGCAGGTCCCAGCACTGCTCCTGCCCCATCTCCCCAGCAAGCATGTAGTACATGGCTGGAGGGGCAGCAGCCACTGGACACCAGCCCACCCACCAGGAGAGCCAGCTTGTGTAAGCACTGCAGTGAGAAGGACTGACTGCTGGAGCGGTCCTGGCATTTCTAAAGAGGAACTACTGAAAGCCAAATGATGGTTCCCTGCTGTGTGATCCTCAGGATAGTGCAGGAGGACAGCACTGGGAATTCTGTAGATAGGGCCAGCACTTGTGGTTTAGCTCTGAGGCTTTGAGCAAGTACTCTGTCCTCTTTGGGCCCCAGGTCCCTCAGGTATAAAATGGGATTGTCATCACGGGTGACCTCTGAGCTTTCTTCCAGCTCTAAACCCTTGTCCCCCAAGTCTGTAACACCCAACTAACAAGCGCAGAGCCCCCTGTATGGCAATGACCAGGGCGGTCCTGGCCAGAGCTGGGTACTTGACCACTAGATGGGTCCAGCTTCACAGCAGAGGGAGGAGGTAAAGATGGCCTACAGGAATGGCAGCCAACATCTTATCAAGGTAAACACTTCTAGCCTGTGGTCTTCCAGATCCCGCCCTGGCATATGGGCACACATAAGGAGCTGCCAACTTTGAAGGCTTCCCAGAGCCAATGTCAGCTTAGTTTAGTGAAGGTATTTAAATTGTGGTCGACTCAGGTGCAGGCTCTGCAGCTGCCTTCCTGCTGAGAGCTGAAGCATGTGGGGCCCACAGATGTGCAGGTCCAAGCTGCAGTAAGACTAGGTAGGAGCTCCTTCCAGAGTGATGCTGACAGGACATTCACAGCTGTGGTTTAGCAGGCTGGCATGGATCTGGCTCAGTTTTAAGACCTTTTTAGGGTGGCAGGCAACTTGAAAAACTGTCCTAATCAGATGAGCAGGAAATGCCTTATGTCACCAGCTCTCAGAAGGAGAGCAGAGATAACTTTTCCATGCTGAGGATCTTGGGTAAGGACCATGCAGCTACATCCTCCAGGGACGTGCCATTACACGGAGCAACTGGCAGGCACTTGACAGCCACTTTCTGGATTACTCCAAAGGTGGATTCTGGGCCAGATTCTCAGTCTGTAACACAACATTCAAAGTAATGCACAGGCCTGGAGAGGGGTGAGAATAAAAACTTGAACCTCTTCAGGAAGGTCAGAAATGGAAGGGCAGATACCACGAACAAGTTACTCAAAAGCTATGTTCAATGCCCTTCTCCCTTGATTTCTTCTACTTAACAGGCTGAAAAGCACACTACTCAATCTCCCAGCCTCCACTGTAGCCAGGGTGGGCCATGAGACCTAGTTCTCAGAAGAGCCAGTGAGATCCAAGTGGAAATCTGTAGATGGTACTTGCAGGGAAACTCTTGATTTCTTTTATTTATTTATTTATTTTTTTTGAGGCAGGGTCTCGCTTTGTAGTACAGGCTGGCCTTGAACTCACTATGTAGCCCAAGCTGGCCTCAAACTTGCAGCGATCCTCCTGTCTCAGTCTCCTGAGTTCTGGGATACAGGCGTGCAGCACCATGCCCAGCTGAACTCTTGCTTTCCTAATGAAAAGGGAACATATTTGGCTTCAGGGTCATATTGACCATTTTGGTTTGTGACTTGTTCTTGCTTAGGAGGCAGCAACCATGTTGCAACCATGAGGCACCAATCCAATCACTGAAGATGACAGGTGAACATAGAAGAGCATTGATCACATGGGAAACTGCTGCTGAAGCCCAGATATCTTATTATGGGATACAAATAAATCTCTTCACATGTATGCCAGTTAGTTGGGTTTTCTATTTCCAGCAGCCAAACGCAGTAGTCTCAACTGACACAGATGGGAGGCAAGAGAAGGTGGTCAAAATCAGGATTAAGAAGTATTTCAGGAAATACATGAGGTGCTTCAAATGTTTGGAGAGGACAGGGGAGAAGACAAGGCCATGCCCATAGCTCAAGAAATGAGAAGTCCCACAGTGTGGGCATGGAGATGTGTACGACCCACCCCTTCCTTCACCAAGCTGCTGCTTTGGGCCCTAACAGCCCCCTGAAAGAAAAGCAAAGTAGGTGCTTTGGATGGGATAGGGGAGGACAATGGATATGGGACAGACCTGTGCATGTGCCCTGCTTTGCCCCACGACCCAGCCTCTGCAAGTGTGGCTGCCTGCAGAGCACACACAGGGTGGAGTTGCCCATACCAGGCACTGTCGGGTTAGGCACCAAAGCAGGCCAGCTCCCATACACCGCCTTGCACAGCACTGAATGAGCACATCTCTCAGCCAGCAGGACACAAAGCAGCAGAGGCAGCCAGAAGGGCGGCACATGTGGCGGGTGCAGGGGAAGGGTAGCTGAAAGCACAGCTAAGCACAGGCTGGAGGTGGGGTACGGGTGTCTGAGGGAAGCAGTGGAGGAGGGAGGCCCCACCTTCGGCCGTCGGAGTGCTCTTAGCATCAGAGGTCTCAGAGCCTGGTTCCTCGGATCCATCATCAGCAGGAGTCTGCAGGGGAGACTCTGGAACATACACAATGAACCCTTCAGGTTGGATGCCTCTCCCCAGACCTTTTTGGACCTCAGGGGGAGCTTGGGAACAGTGTCTTTTGAGCTGCAAACCCCTCAGCATGAGCCCCATGGCCATGTGATCAAATCTCGGAGGACCAAAGCCCTCTGGCCCCAACAATGCTCCACACCAGCATCACTGGATGAAGGCAAAGGTGATGTACGTTTGCTTCTGGTGGGAGGAGAGATACCTTGTGATCCACCAGTTCTGGTGGGAACAAAGGTCCTTAGAGTGACAAAAAGGCAGTGAATACCAGAAAGCTGAGCCACATGTGAACTTGCTATTAATTAATGCTACTGCTATTAATTAATAACAAATGGACACCTGGGAATGCCCCCACTGAGGGGATCCAACTCCTACCTTAGAAAAGGAATCAGCTCAGGGCAGACCCAGTGCCTGCTCCTACATGAACATGTAGCTATGTTTGGACTTTACCCAGCTTTCACAGAAAGCTCTACTCCATTTGAAACCTCAGCTATGGGTGCCTACAAGGAAAGTGTCCTTTCAGTATCCAAAGCCTGGCTGAAAGGCTCAAATGACTGCAGTGGTCCAGAGCCACACCCTCTACCATGAATATCCTTGGTAAGGTGGCTTTTGTTGGCTCAATAGAAATGAAGAGATCTACTTCTTCACCAAGGAAGATTGAAATGTTCCCTCCTGTACGGTACCTTGGCTACTGGAAGTCAACCTGTCCTGGTCATTTTATGTACTTATCCAAGCTTCACCCAGCCCTAGGGGCTGGGTGAGTCAGGGCCTTTAAACGAAGAAGGGCAAGACCTCTGGACAGCCCTGTATACACAGAGCTGAGTGCTAGTTCCTGGAAGGAAGCAGCTGCTCAGAAGAACATCTGCCTCTAGGAACATAGTCTAAGGAGGGGCAAAGAAGACCACACAGACCAAAAGCCCCAAAAGTCCATGTATTCCAGAGTGGGCTGGGACCAGCTGAGAGTGTGCCCCTGAAGGTCTCCTGAAGGAAATGAGAGTTACAGTCCAGAAAGCATTGGACCAACAGCCAAGATATCTGGATTCAAGTCCGAGTTCCACCTTTTTCTAGTCAGGCAGCCTTGGACTTGCCTTTCAAGACCTCAGTTTCCTCATTTAAAAAGTGGGTGAGCTGACATCAACTCTACCTGCCTCCTCCTGGAGCTGTTGGGAGGATTCAGAGTGAAGCACTTTGCAAACTATAAGGATTTATATTTGTAGATCTAGTTCCCATTGACATGAAGGAGCCAAGTGTTTATGGGGACAATGTTGAGGTTCTCCTTTCAGCTAAGTTCTACCTGAATGCTCAGGTGACTATGACAGTAAGCCATGACTCAAACTGATAGATGGATGGATCAATGGATAACAGGACTGGTAGATGATTATACAGGGGGTTGGAGGTATGGATAGATGGGTAGATTATTGAATGATTGGGTATATATATGATTAGATTGATGACTGGATGGATGTATAAATGGATGGATGGATGGATGGACGGATGGATAGATAGATGGATGGATGAGATGGAAACACAAGAAGTTCCCATCAGAGTTTCTAAGCCATTTGCTAGAAAATCTTTGTCACCTACTTTTCCTCATCTTCTCCTGACCCTGGTTCTGTGTGCCCAGAAAGCCTCTCCAGTCTTCCCAATGGCATCTCAGCCATCAGCTTTTAGCTCAGTGACCTCACTCATCTCCATGTGGCAGGAATTCCCCATTCATTCTTTTTTCTTTTTGGTACTGGGGATCAAACTCTGGTCCTTGCACTTGCAAGGCAGGTGGTGAAATCACTGAGCTAAATCCCCAGCCTTCGTATTCCCCATTCTTTATGAGCATTTACTGGATGAGTGGGCTTTCATTGTCCTATTCAGGCTTAGACTGAAATCTAGGTGGCAGAAAGATAGATCACACCCTTTGGAGTCAGGCAGATGGGGCCCAAATCCACCATCTGCCAGCTGTGTGGCTCTAGTCAAGGCACTAGCTTCCTTCTGCTTCAGTTGTCTCCCCTGTAAAATGGGCATGGCAGCAGTTCCATCCACTCATGGGGCTTCTGCGAACATGAAACTGCTTACAGTATACTCAAAGCACTTTGTGTTTGTTGGGGCTGTATGTGGGAACCTCTCAGTAAGGGATGATGATGACCATCACTCACTACATCCCACCTTGGCTAAAGGGCCCCAAATAGCACTGTGCACCACTAGGAGACTGAATGTTTTTTTTTTATGGTACTGACAATGGTGATAAGATGTTGACTGGGAATCCCTGGGGCTCTGGCAGATGGCTGACCATTGTATCAGAAGGATGAATGGGTTCTGGCCAGGTGAGGAAAACATCCAGCATCATTCTTTAGTCACAGCCTAAATGCTATTAATATTTCCTCAGGTACACAGGGACTTTCAGTGCCGCTCTGTGCAAATACCTGCTCTGTGACACAGACTGCTGGTCACAGAGTCCATTTCCTTGGAAACAGAGACCTGAAACAATGCAGGATGGAGCTGTGCCCAGTTAAAGGCCATACTTTCCAGCCTTCTGGCCAGGCAAAGGTGGCTGATAAAATGTCAAGGGAAGTATATGGACAGGGTATTCAGGAAAAAAACATGTCTTGGAGGAGCTCAGTGGAGAAGGGCTCCCTTTGTGTCCATCTTCTGCCTCTTTTCCGGTGGCCATGAGACACCGTGAAGGTGGAAGCCACATGTTCAAGATGGTGGGTTTTATCAACCATATGAAAAGTAAAGACTATTTTCTGCTTGTACAAAAATGGTGAAGGGACCAGATCTTGTCTGCAGGCCAGGGTTGGCTGAGTCTTACCTTAAGAAATGACTCTTACCCCTTGGTGGATTGAAGAAGGAAAGAGCCTACAGAGGCCACTGGTTATTGTGGTAAGGTCTGTGGCAAGAAAGTCTGGATTGAATGAGAAGTGGGGGGAGGTCTCCAGGGTACCGCTACTGTCATGATGGACCAGCTGATGGTAGTATCACCAACAGCAGTGTGGAGCCCAGGGATGGTCCAGGATGGGGGCACATGAGCATGGATAGGACTTGTTAGGTTGTGGGTGTGATGAGGCATTTAGTGGAGATAAGTGTTGTCTCTTGGGTAACAGGAGTCTCTGGGGTATGAGCAGGCTTAGAGTCAGTTTCAAGATGGCAGGGGCTGGTTCTATGCACAAAGCATAATGCAAAGATGAAAAGAGGCAAGTGGAGTTCACTGAGTGCACAATCTTTGTAAAAGTACTGTCCCTGGGGCCCAGGATTTAGCTCAGTGGTTCTGCCGCCTGCCCCGCAAGCTCAAGGACCTGAGTTTGATCCCTGATACAAAAACCAAAACCAAAACCAAAACAAAACAGCACTGTCCCTGCACACTAGCCTTGGCAGTGTCCTTTCAGCTAAGAATGGCTCATCCCAACCAAGCTTCTAGCATGTGCACACTCCCAGGTCCTGAAGCTTATAAAAACCTGCAAGCTTTCAGCCAAATGGTGGGGTAACAGCATACAGACTGCCTTTGGGTCTTGTCAGTAAGCAGCCTGACTACCAGGAAGAAGTGCTTCACACCCCTGTGTGGTAGGGTTGGGGTGCCCCTCCGCCAGCCTGTCTGCAGTCGCTGTCATTTGCACTATCCTTGTTAAATTCCTTGGAAGAAGGGATGGAGGAGAAACAAGTTTCATTTGAATGTCTTACTGGGAAGGTAAAATAGGTTAGTTCATCAACACCTTTTAATGCATGAGGGTGCATTATTTTGCCAGCTAACAACTTTCACCCACTTTGCAGGGATCTAGCCCTATTCCATCTTGTAACAACCAGTTAGCTACTCTTTGTTCTGGTATTTTCACAGGTAGTTTCTTGTCATTATTCAAAAGAGTCTTTGTCACTTTTCTAAACTGTTGTTAGTACAGTGACACCTTCTGCCTAGTCAAATCTGTCACTCTGCACATAAAAACAGCTCATTCTAAACCATCAGAAACAAGAATAAATTTGATATCTATGAAAATCTCTTAGGTATCATGGACTTTCTTGGGCAGTAGATTCTTTGGGTAGGCAAACCATCTTCAAATGCTTTCCTTCCACAGCAGTTTCCAAAAGATTAGCAACTCAAATGTTGCAGTGTGTGTTTTGGTATAGAACTCATCAAGTTTTATGTTAAAGAATTGAATAACAGTTTGAACAAACATATTAGGCCACCTTGAAACATAAAATAACTTGATGAACTTGATCTTACTTTACAAATTAAATTTAGTGTCTTAAAAATTAAGAGTGGTAGGCCTGGGGATTTAGCTCAGTGGTTCTGCGGCCGGCCTGGCAAGCCCAAGAACCCGAGTTCGATCCCTGGTACCAAAAAAACCCAAAAAACAAAAAAACCCCCACACAACAACAACAAAATTAAGAGTGGTAAGAACCACACTTTCCTCTGACTTTATTTTAATGAACTTGCAATTTTTGTGAGTCCTTCTCACAACCAGTTTACTCGGTTATTAACATGTGACATTACTATGGTACATTGGTTGCAATATAATATACTATTTATTTACTGGTACTGGGGATTGAATCCAGGGCCTTTGCACTGAACCACTTCCACATGCCTTTTTATTTTTTATTTTGACAGAGGGTCTCACCAAATAGCTAAATGGCCAGGGCTCAAATTTGGCAATCTTCTTGCCTCAGGCTCCCAGAGGACTGGGATTAGAGGTGTGTACCACCATGCCCAGCAAATTGCCCTGCCTCTATATTGTGTTTTTCATTGGTATAATTCAGTATGAAGAATTGACTCCGAATACAGAATGTTGTGATTCTAACTTGGATTCCACCCATGGGAGTTTAACAGCTGAAATGATTAAACATTTCTCAGCTGCAGTTGGTGATGATCTTGGGCAGGGAGGCTTGGCTGGAGCCTGCACCCTGCCCCCAGCTCTGAGTTCTGCTGTGCCCCAGCCTTCTCCATCTCCTGGCACTCGAACTCATCTAATTCTCAAATGCCTCTTAGTCCCATTCGTTCCTGCTTACAGAGATGGAAACCAGTCTCTAAAACAGGACCCCAGTTGGTCCTGAACTCCAGGGGAGGAGGGGACAGGATGGTTGTTCTATATGCAGGAGAGCTGGTGGTCTCTGCTTTTCACACCCAGGGGATCCCTAGATGCCTCTAAAATGTCACCTCCTACCTTGGAGATTCACAATTTCCACCCACTACCCCACACTCTGGCTGTGAGGGTTTTATTTTTAGCATTAACAGAGAAAAGTAGGGTGTTGCAATTTCACATCTTAGAATTGAGTCTGGAGGTGGGGACCAAGTCCTCTTCATAGGGGGCCACATGGAGAGCTATACAGGGAGGGAACACCATGAGTAGAGCTCCTTGTGGCATAAGACAGCACTCTGGGCCAGCTCAGTGATCCAGCTGCAAGAGAGGGGCCAGTATGAGGGGCTGCAGAAAGGACTTTGGGTGCTCTGGTTCCCAGAACACGTGGCCCTACTGTGAAATGAAACATGTACATTGGGGCGGGGTCAACTGTTAAGGCCAGAAGACTACTACAGACTGTGGGAGTTGCTGGATTGGGGACAGACAAGCCTGGTTTAAGGAAAGGATGAAAAGTAATGCGTAAAGCCAAGTATTTTACATGCTAATGAATACTCCCAATCTACAGGCTAACAGGAGTGGCTAAGGACTCCAGGAGCCTACTGTATTATGGGAGTCCTGCAGTCCTTGACACAATCCATTCACTCTTGTGGCACGCTGTCCTTTGGAAAGGTAAATTTTCAAATAACCCCCTATTTGAATTATCTTCACTTTTTCAAATGACAATGTAATGATGTAAGGTATTGAAAATGCAAGTCAGGATGTGAACCCTTCCTGCCACCCCATGCCAAAGCAAAGCAAGCGGTTGGTTGTGATCTTCAAGGTGTTCAGTGCATTGTGTACAGGTGTCCACTAACCTTTCAGGCCAGGCTCTGTGTCCCCATCCCGGTCTTGAAGCAGGGTGTAGTCCCCAGCATGATCTTCCATCGTGTCAAACTCCTGGCGGGGCTCAGCCATCCTAGTTAAAGGCTCACCTGGGAAAAGAAGGCGGGAGGGTGAAGGATAGGTTGGATGCTGAGGGACTGGACTTCCCAGGAATATGGGGGAGGGAACGGGGGTATGGAGGAGTCTCCTCTCCCAGGCCATGCTCTTCCCACTCCCCTGTGCAACAAACAGATGCTCCATATCCCTGCCAAAGGGGTGTAATGATATTTCTGTGCACTTGTAATTCACCAATGGCATATCATCATATCATATTCAGAACAACCAGGTGAGGCAGGCTTGGTAAGCCTGACTTCTTACTCCACATCACTAAAAAGTAAATGCTGCTGATTACCAGTTTAGTTTTTTTCCCCTTGTAGTATTGGGGATAGAACCTAGGCCCTCACATATGCTAACTAGCCAAGCGCTCTACCCTGGAGCTACACCCCAGCTCTCTGCACATTTTTCCCCATACTTCATGTTGCCTTAGTGAAAGAGCTACTCCCACTTATCACTGGCAAGGTCCTAAGGGCTCTGGGGTTCTACCACAGAGACGATTGTGGGGCTCCAATGCCAGGACTGACACAGTGGCTGTGTCACTGGAGGTTGCCACTGGAGGTCTCCAAGGAGGCTCATTTTCCCAGGCTTCCCTTTATCAGACAGATGTGGCCCCTGAGTGGAAAACCTCTCACTCAATGAACCTGTGACAAGAAGCTGGCACAGCCTAAGCTACTTCACTTGAGGCGGCTGTTCTGCTCTTATCACTCCTCAGGAGGTCAGGTTGCCCCAATCTAGGGGTTGCTCACATTGTAACATCAAGGTAACCCAGAAGGCATGAAAAAGCAGAGATCCAGGGACGTGACAGCTGGCTACACTCTGCTCCTCGTGGAAGCCCAAAGCCCGTCCACCAGGGATCCCCTGAAAGGACAGGCTTGCTCATGATGAAAGTTTCCTTCTTTTGGCTACCTTGCCCTGCCAGCCTCAGCCCATGCACACATGTCCCCATCAACCAACTTATTCCTATGCAGAATGGGAGAAAGAAAAACATGGCATGGCAGGCCAGCACTATGTTGCCCTTAGCACTAACCCTTAGTGGCCTTCGTTTCCTCAGGAATGTCTAAACAGTTCTTAATGAACAAAGCAGGATAGAGTCAAAGGAGGGTTTGTGAAAAGTGAACTGTCTACCCTTTTGACGTGGGTCATGCTGTCAGAGGCACCCATTGCCCAAACTTAGTCTGGATCAGAGGCTAGGGCTTGCAGTACCCCTCCTGCACCCATCTGTACATCCACCAAGTCAGGACAAATGGGGTAAAGCATGGCGCATGCTGGCTGCTCCTCAGTGGGCTGAGCAGAGTGTGGAAAGGGGGCTGAGGTGGACAGTTGAAACTCTGCTCACAGGCATGCACAGCACCAGAAGAGGTGCCCCAAGGTGAACCTGGCAGCAAATGCAGGGTCAACTGGATGAATAAGGAGAGACTGTTGGCAGCGAGGTGAGGGTACTGGTCCAGGCACACAGTTCAAAGGCTGGAGCTAGAGTGCAGGCAGAGGGGAAGGGGAGGAGAGGGGAGGGGAGGAAAGGAGAGGAAGGAAGGAAAGGAAAGGAAAGGAGGGAGGGAGGAAGAAGGGAAGGAGGGAAGAGGGAAAGAAGGAAGGAAGGAAGGAAGGAAGGAAGGCAGGCAGGCAGGAAGGCAGGCAGGCAGGCAGAGGCAGATCCAAGAAGTGTCTTGGAGAACATATTAGACTGAGCTTCAACTTGGGTTGGGGTCAGGCAAAGAGATTAATATCTAAAAGTATGCCTGGTATGGTGGGGCATGCCTATAATCCCAGCAGTCTGAGAGGCTGAGGCAAGAGGATCATACCTTTGAGCCCAGCCTGAGCAATTTAGCAACTTATCTGGTCTCAAAATAAAAAGTAAAGATGGGCTGGGGATATAGCTTATAGTTCAGTGGGAAGGCCCTAGGTTCAGTCCCTAATACCCTCACCCCCACGATCCATAAATACACTAGAAGTGAGTGGTCAGGTGGCTGGGAAAATCAGGGGTGAGCTACACAGTCAAAGAGAACCCATAGGAGGAAAGGAGCTGGAAAACAAGGGTGGGTTCTGTTTTTAAAAGATCTTTGCTTGAAAGAACCCCCTGACACTGCATTTACCTAACTGGTGATTTATTTCACTTAATAAGCTCTAAAAAATGTATTCTATTATTCCTCTTGACTTCCATTATAATTTTAAATTTTTTATGACTCTTTATTTTCATGGATTGTTCAACAGAGATATATTCTACTTAGATAAACGGTCAGCAAATACTTCCTGTCAAGGGCCAGACAGAAAATATCATAGGTTCCACAGCCTGTTTTCTAGTGACCCCTCTGTTCCCCAAGTGCCATACTCACTGCCCCTTCAGGGCTGGAGATCAGAAGGATTCATAGGAAGCTGAATGAATTATAGGGGCCAGTGCAGAAATTAAATCATCCTTAAATACAGGCTATCATTCACTACACGGAATAAATAAACTGCTTGCATCTCAAAGGCCAGTATTTTTCTTTGAGAGAAAAGCGTGGACTACACAGGAGGAAGTCTCTAAGCAGGAGGGCTCACCCCTGCCCCAGCCCTGGGAGGACAGATGCCCTTAGGTTTCCTGGACCTACTTCCACACTTGCTCCAGCTGGTCTAGGTCAGCTGCCCAGTGCTAATGTTTTGGAACCTACCTGCCATGTTAAGAAAGATAAGCCTTGTTCTGGAGCATCCCTGAGGTCAGCTTGCAGAAGGAAGGAAGCAAAATCCAGAAAGGAGAGGTCCCCAGAGAGCAAACAGAAGTGACTCTTCTTCCACGCTTTAGGACAAACAAGGATGGCTGGCGCCTGAGCCTGAAAGCCGGGGGTGTAGGGGGATGGTTTGCTGCTTGCTGATATACTACAGGAGCCCCTGGGCCTGGCAACATGAGGCCCTTGTACTTGTTCCCTGTGGGCACCACATGGGCACCTCACAGGCACCTCAATGAGCTCACAACAATCCTTTGAGCCAGGTATCTTTGTCATCATCATCATCACCACAGATATTATGATATCTGGGAATCTGGGAAGTCATTTACCCAAGGTCATGAAGCCAGTAGGAGGCAGGCCCCAAATGCGAAGCCCGTGTCCTGAACAGCAGTGACACTAAGCTGTCCCTCATGGCCTACTGTTTCACACTGGACCATGAAGCAACCTTCAACTTTCTGCCTAAGACATTAGGGCCTGTGACTAGGATGTGGAAGAAACACAGAAGTTGTCACATCCCTCAACCTTTCGGTTCTTCATCCCCAAAATGTCACTGTATAACCCCTGAGCTCCCTTCTTACCCTGCTATTTTATCCTATATGAGCCCCTGCAGCCTGTGTCCTCAGCTCAGGAGCCTAGGAGGCCAGGGATGGGATAGCAGGAGGTCTCCACCTCAGGCTGGGGTGAGGGGCAGGGGACCCTAGCATCCAACCAAGGGTCTGCACTTTGGGCACAGCCTCCTTCCTTAGCACAGGCTCCTGCTGCCCTCCTTCTGGAAGCCACGGGCAGGATGGAAGAATGGACAAAAGACAGAGCCAACTGACAGGTGGTACAACCGCACATTTCAGGCCTGAGACTCATGCAAAGATGGTGCCCTGAAATACCTAAATAAGCATGGCCCTGAGGAAGCACCCGGCCTGAGCCAGACATGTCATCACGCCACAGACGCCTATAATCTCAGCAAGACACACAGACAGGAAAATAAACACACCAAAGCAGTGTTCCTCACTCACTTTCCCATTTCCTACTTTGCTTACCTTTCCCAGTCTCTGTCTCTGCCTCTCTGCCTCTGTGACTCTCTCCCTGTTTTTCTCTCTCTCTGATTCCCTACCTTTCTCCTAACTGTCCAAGCAGTGGCTCAGAGGCAGTGGTGTGGGAGATAAGGAAGAAATTTTAGGAGAGGCATACAAATTGGGTTAAACCTGGAAAATAAAATAGGCCATTTTTAAGGAACCCTTGGAAAAGGATGGTCTCTTGATGAGAAAATGAGGACCAGAGGGTCCTGGATTCTGTCTTTGGATTTGGTCCTGGATTTCTGTCTCTATTTTATAGAGGAACTGAGGCCTCAGTAGGGGAAAGGCTTGCTAAGCCGGCTTTAGGCTCACAGGTCCTCAGCCCCCTGCAAGCCTTGCTGGCTTCAGGGCAGGGGGAGAGAGAAGGGTCCGTAGGTTGAGAGCAAGGGACACAAAGAGGAGAATGCACTGGTGACAGGATAAGGGGTGATGACCAGGAGGCAAGGGGCAGGAGAGGCACCTGCATGTATAAACCTTGGAACCAAGTCACAGCTGCTATTACTCTGAATCTTTTTAAACTTTCTATGGTTGAAGTAAAACTCATGTTGCATAAAGCGAACCATTTTAAAGTGAACCACTGAGTGACATTTAATAATACATAATGTTACTCAACCATCACCTCTAATTCCAAAACTTTTTTATTGCCCCCCAAAGAAACTCTGTATCCACAAAGCAGCCCCCTCCCTATTTCCTGCAACCCCTCAGCTCTTCTCTGGCTCTGGAGGTGCCTCTGTGGAACACTTCATATGAATGATTCATATTCACACAGGACCTGGTGAATAAATGGGTCGCTGATGTCTTTCAGGGAGCATCATGTCCAGATTCACCCAGGTGACAAATAGGTCACTGGTTCAAGACTTGAGTGGGATTCCACTACATGGATTTACCACATCCCTTTCTCCATGATCTGTTATTCACTGATCACACCTGTAGTCAACAGGGAACATGATAACCTGCAGCTTTTTATTATGACTCTTTTCTGAGAATGGTGGAAGGTAGATGGAGGGAGCAGGTGTGAGCATGGAGAGGTGGACTGGTGGGGAGGAGATGGGTAGAGTGCCAGCCAATCTTCAGCTCCTTCTGTGTGGTGCAGGGCCGTCTCCAGGGCCCTCCAGACCCACAGAGGCACAGGGGTTTGCAGGTGAGACCTTGGGTCCCCTCTGCTCTCAAAGAACAGGGTCTTCCTAGGCTGGAGGATGCGCAAACCTCTGTCCAGTGGAACTC